GAGAGAGAGAGAGAGAGAGAGAGAGAGAGAGAGAGAGAGAGAGAGAGAGAGAGAGAGAGAGAGAGAGACTCTCTCCCTCCCTCGCGAGCACATTTTCAGTACGCCAATGTATATCATCGATACCATACATTTTACGCTTTAGGGTTAGGGTTTCGGGTTTCGAGTTTAGGGCTTAGGGAGTAAGAGCGATAGACAAAAATCTCAATCGCAAAATCAAGAAGTAGCACAGATAGTCATGTACCAAGTAGAGAGCACAATGCATCAAGATACCATCCACAGAAGAGGAATACAATGAACTCGTATGTCAATGTCGAAGCTCTGTGGCCACACCAACACAGTATCCAATGTTGCTCCTACTGAGCTACAACACCCAGAACTACACCCAGCCCATCTACGCCTATTTACGTTCATGCTACCAGATCAGAGCGAAGTTGAAGACCAATGTACGCGACGTCATCACCAATGCAGACTGCCAGCATACACCAAGTACGTTCTCTCTCTTCCCCTCATCACACCCTATCTCCCCTCTGCATTCTCCTCCTACCTGAAGACCACCATCGCCATCATCTGCTACCGCACGCTCAGCCCGGCTATGGCCACTATGCGCCCACTGCCACTACAACGACCTCTCACCTCTCAGCGCTCGTGTGCGCCCTAGCCGGCTAGTGCTACCACAACAAGGCTTGGCAATGTCATGGCCGCTATGTGCAATTAGGCACGTCCAGGTAGCCCTCAGGCTCCAAGTGTTTGCCACATTCTCATTGGCTTGCGGTAGATGTGTGACGACAATGTTGCATTCTCATTGGTCCGCGGCCTCTCCCTGATGTGTCGGCCTCTCAGTGCATGTGCCCAGGGCGCAACCACTTGAGCCCTGGGCTCAACTGTACGACGCAGCTACTACTTCTGGAAGAAGCCAGGAAAGGCTCATGTTGCTTTGTAACCTACCGGCGTGCTGCAATTGTCAGATTCCCATCATATGAAAGATGTCCAAAGTAGGCCTCACGTGGATATTCAGGCCCGCCTTCTCTTAGGGCGGGCACGAGACTTGCTAGGGGGCGTAGCCCAAAACATTTGCGTGCCCCAGGAGAGCCTCACGAGGGTTCAGTCCTCGCATTCCATCCCCCTTAGCTTCAAAGATCCATTGAAATGCTTCTACGCACGTGTTTTCCCCTTCAAATTTCTTTCATACTCGGCCACGATCTGAGGTGTGGTTCTGATGAGCTCCTCTCTTGTGAACCAATGATCTTCCTTTGGGTCTGTATGATGCCTGAATCTGACCCGGTACTACCTACATGCTTGGGAACAGGCAAGTCTCTATGTTCTAGGATGTCGTGAACGTCCACATGGCCGTCCATGGTTGGGGGCAGCTTTGATCTCCTTGGTGGGAACTGATCAGTCTTAGCCAAAGGTGCAAGCTTGGAAGCGTGAAATACAGGGTAAGTCGAAGGTGACCAGGGATTCTTATCACGTAGGAGGGTTCATCCAAATCACTACCCACAATGCCTAGAGCTTCCCAAGGACCGAAATACTGTGGCATTAGCTTTCTAGAGATGTCGAATTCCTGCCCCAGTTCACTAGCTTCTACCCAGACACGTTCCCCTACCTGAAATGTGGATCGTCGACTGTGTTTGTTCTCAGAAGAGATCATTCTTCTGATATTTTTTAATGTGCTTGACAGTTTGTTGCAACAACTTCTCATACTAGACACCAAACTCTATGGTTCTAGGCATTGCAGCTGGTCGGTTTTCAGGAAGGAGAAAGTCTAGTGTAGATCTAGGCTTCCACCCCAAATGCAGCTTTACTCAGACTGACGTCGGTGGTGCCGTGTACAATGTTGTTGTAGAGGCTTGCGATGAGAGGCAACTTCTCATCCCAGTCATACTGGTTGGGCTTAATATAATGCCTCAGCAAATGCTGCATCGCACGGTTCATCTGTTCCGCTTGGCCATTGGCTTCGTGATGATTCCCCAAAGTCATTTGGAGTTGGTTTCCCGTCTGTTCAACAACCTTCTTCCACATTTCACTTGTGAATTAAACATCTTTGTCGCTAACGATTGATTTGGGTAATCCAAAGACACGCACCCGGTTATCCATGAATAACTTGGTGACGTGTTCAGTCCTCGCAGTCTCTAGCATAGCAATTACTCTAGCGTACTTAGTACGCCCGTCCACTATGACGAAGATGTGTCGCTTACCACTCTTGCTGGTCACGAGGGTATCAATGAAATCCATGGAGACACTTTTTCCCGGGCCTGCAGGAATGGGTAAGGGCTTGAGTAACCTAAGTGATGCTTGAGTTCGCGGCTTATCCCGCTGACAGACTCGACAAGTTTGTACATACTTCTTTGCATCGTCAAGCATACCAGGCCACCAACATCGCTGCACTAAATTAACACTAGTCTTCTTATAGCCGAAGTGCCTTGTTGCATCATGACACTCACCAAAAATAAACTACGTAAAAATTCGCTAGCCGATAGATACAGTCTTTTGAACCCTGCCTTTTCAAGGAAGAGTAACCCATCCACCAACACAAACTCATCAGATGCGGCTTTATCTTGGGCCTCTAGCCTGTGTATGATGTCCATCATGATTGGGTCTTCCTTGTAGGCATCCACCAATGATCGAGTTACTTCGTAAGATAAGCCAAACTCTGTAATTTGCGCACCTAGTTAGTCTTCCTTACGTGACTGCGCATCAACAACCTTGTTGTACTCTCCCTTCACACAGTCTAGCTCGAAGTCATAATGATCTATGACTTCAATCCAACATTTGAGTGCATCGAAGAGAACAGGCTGTGTCTTGATCCACTTGAGTGTCTAATGGTTGGTCCTCAAATAGAAGAACCTACCAAGTACATAGTGTTTCCAGTGGACAAGGGTTTGGTAAAGGGCATAGAGTTCCCTCTCATAGGTGGACTTTGCCAACTTCTTAGATGGCATCTTCTTACTCATGTACTCGATCGCCTCAACTTCTTCGCTTCCTTTTGAGCTAACATTGTGCCTCTGGCATATTGGCTTGCATCAGTGGTCACGATGAATGACCTCTTCGGATTGGGGACCATGAGAACCTCATGATGCATGAGGGCGTACTTCAACCTTTTGAAGTCACCCTCGCATTAGTCTGCCCATTCCCATGGTGTGTCAAGGCGTGTTAGATCGGTCAAGGGGACTGCTACAGTGCTATATTTTTCACATAGTTGCAGTAGTAGCCTTTCATTCCCAATAACGATTTGACATCGGTCACCGATTGCGTTCGTGGCCAGTAACAAATGCTAGCCACCTTTGCATCTTCGGGCCTAATCCCTTTTGCAGATATCTCATGACCCAAGTACAAGATTTTAGTGCGACTGAATTCGCATTTCTCTAAGTTGATCTTATACTTTTGCTGCCGCAGGAGTGAAAGTGCAGCTTCTACATGCTGCGCATGCTCCTCGACTGTTCTATTGAAGATAAGAATATCGTCGAGGTACACGACGACAAACTTATCCAAGTAATCATGAAACACCCTGTTCATGGCATGCAGGAATGTACCCGGCCCATTGTAAAGGCCAAAAGGCATCACCACAAACTGGTACAGACCGTACCTGGTCAGGAATGCGGTTTTGTGTTGATCTTTTGGTCTAATGGCAATTTGATGGTAGTCGAACTTTAAGTCTATCTTTGTAAAGTACTTACATCCCTGCACCCAATTCAAAAGGTCGTCGATGATGTGTTCTTAACAATGATGGCATTGAGGCCTCTGTAATCAATGCACATCCTTAATGATCCCCCCTTCCTCGGAACAAATAATACAAGTGACCCGAAGGGGGAAATGCTAGGCTGTATCCAACCCTTCTCTGTGAGCTCTTTCAGTTGCCGACGAAGCTCGTCCAACTCAATCGGAGCCATCCTATAGATCCTCCCCTTTGGTGTCTTGCTACCTGGAATTACTTCTATGACATGGACAACCTCCCTATCTACGATTCTTGAAGGCTCCTCCAACAGATCAGGGTAATTAGCAACGACAACTTCTATCTCTGGGGGTGATTTAACGACCTCGCCTTTCTCAAAGATGAAAACTAGGTACATGCCCTCCACTTGGTTTTGTTTATAATAATTGTAAAATGCTAATGCACACATGCAACCGTAGGAGTCTATCAAACCGCCAGCCTTATACTTGGCGAGTCTAACTGTTCTCCCTTCTGGCAATACATGCTTGAGCACCTTCCGATCCCAGTCGGACTGGGGCTTGGCAACCTCGAGGTAGTACGCTCCTAATAATATGTCGAATGGCAAGTCATCGCTAACTACGAACAAAAT